ACACCACCCCTCTGGCGTCCACATCTCCTTTTTGGTACTTACCGCAGGTCTAAATCGGGGTGGAGGTGTTCGGTCCTTCCGGGCTTCACGAGAACGATTCCTGACTACCTTGCTGTGAATGGCACAGCTCACACAGTAATGCAGCTTCACATACAGCTTGGGAAGCACATAGGCTAAGATGGAAAAGGAACAGAACATTAAATGCACGTAAACGCCTGTCAGCATACCTACACCATTTCACTCCCAAGTTCAGCTTCTGATGCCTAACTAAACACATGCAATTTCACAAACGAGTAACACTCTAATTCTTCCTATCACCAAGGGGACCAAGCCCACATCCCAGATAAACCAACATCCTGCTCCTTCAGCAGCTGCACCAGCCCCAACACCTACTCCTGGGCACTTTCTTGTTGCCTAAATTTTAGGCCCTAAAAAGCCAATTTGGCTCAGTGGCTAGAGCGTCAGCCAGAGGACTGAAGGTCCCGGGTTTGATTCTGGTCAAGGGGATGTATCTCGGTTGCAGCCTAGATTCCCCAGCCCTGGTCTGGGCAGGAGGCATCCAATGGATGAGTCTCTCTCACATCAATGTTCTATGTCTCTCCCTAAAAACCTATGGAAAGCCCGGCCGCCGTGGCTCAGTGTTGACCTATGAACTAGGAGGCCACAGTTTGATTCCTGGTCCAGGCACATGCTCGGGTTGTGGGCTTGATCCCAGTGTGGGGTGTGCAGGAGGCAGGCAATCAATGATTCTCTCATCGTTGATGTTTCTCCCTCCCTCTCTCTCTGAAATCAATAAAAATAATGTCCCTGGGAGAGGATTAACAAGAAAAACCCAATTTGTCCTAAGGAAAAAAAAAAAAAAAAAAGACAACATATCATATTGCCCAGAAACACCTTTGGTGACCAATCCAGACGGCCTCCTACTTGAAACATTCTCCCAGACTTAGTCTGTACACTTCCACAACAGGCACTCAAAAACCAGTGCAAAGGGACTGTTCAGTGTACTATGCTTGTAGTTATTGCTCCCCATCCCCAAACACTGCTACAGAACAAGTTCTGTAAGTGCTTTTGGACTCCCACTCCCTTAAAAAAAAGAAAACGAAAAGCCCCGTTCTCTTCTACTGGCAACAAGCTTAAAAGTGTATAACCCGCAGGGGATGTTCCCGTGAACTCAGCCCGCGGGGCGCAGGGTAGGCGTTAGGGAGCCTGCAGATCACGCCGGCGGCTTACTCACCGTCGAAGACACTCGCTTCCGAGATGTCCCGAACGGCTGCGGCCTCCACTATGTTTCGGATGACAAACTTCTTAATGGCCTTGTCCTTGGGCACGCACCGGGCGCAGTTGGTGCAACGAATAGGCTGCACATGGCCTCGGCCTTTTTTGGCACGACCGTTATTCCTTCTTTTCTTGGTCTGCATGAGGATAAAGACCTTGTTAGAACGGAGGGGCAACTGCCCAGCCTCGGCCCCTAACGGCTACATTCCGCACCAGCCGCCCAAGGAAGACGCCAGTCACATCCCCACTTCCTCCGCAAATCTCTCTCCAAGCCCGGGGTAAACACACGCTCCGCCCGCTCCTCCTTGGACCCGGCTCCCAAATCCCCCACAATCGGAAATCTGCCCCACTCAACCTCACCCAGACCGCCCGCTCCACACGCGCACGCACTCACCATCTTGGAAACGAGGACCCGAGAGAGGATCCGGCGCCCGGTCCGCCTCCCTTATATAGCGCGAGATCCCTCCACTCACACCGGAAGAATCCTTAGTTGACGAACGCCAAGAATGGCAACCCACCTTACTCAAATTTTCTTTATTATTCAGCGTTTATGCTGAAATCTAGGGCAGAAAGGCATTTCTCGAGTTTATTTATCGGTGGAACAAGGTGACCATCGGACTATTTTTCCTGATGGCGGAAGAAAATTAAAGTTATACGTCTCCCAGCAGGCACTGCGACGCCCTACCCCGGAAGTAATTTTGGGCGGTACAATTAATCTGGTTTTGCGACGCTAAAAGCGGAAGTTGCCTGGCGCAAGATCACAAATCGCGCTGCCAATTAGAGGCCAGATGGGAAGAGATGCATGGTGGGAGTTGTAGTGCGAAGCTGACAGGCCTTTTGCCCCAAGCACTTAGACCCCGGACGGCTCTACGCCTCCGGAGGACGCTCTCGGCTCACTTCTCTGACAATCTTACTCCTTGGTGTAGGATTGAGAAACGGAGGACCTGGGCGCGGGGGGAACAAAACGTTTTGTTAATTCCTCTTTCCCATATGGAGAAAAACCCACAATGAGGGGCCAGGGACAAGTGCATTGTTTCTCATTCACCTTTTAATTCTTGGATCTTCTTATCACAGTGCCAGGCACTGTAGTAAGTGCTTTATAAATATTAACTCATTTAATCCTCAACAACTCTATAAAGCAGGTACTATTATTATCCTCACTTTTCAGATAGAAGAACCGAGGAGTACTGTAGAGAGGTTAAAACTGAGGTTGCCCAAAGTCACACAGAGCTAGTAAGAGGTGTCCTGGCTCCATTAAACCGCACTGCTTCTCACCCAACCAACAGTGGATGGACAGCCTGGACCAGCGCCTTAAATAATTTTGACTCAGACTCAGAGTAGAAGTACATAGTAGAAATATATGGTACTCAATACTTACACAAACACACACACACACACACACACACACACCTGAAACAAACTTTACAAAATACCCTTATGACATAAAGGTGCTCTGGTATATTCAATTTTTAAAAAAGAAATGCTGATCAAGCTCCACTAAAGTGATTTTGCCTCATTGATGAGTTTGACCCCTGACTGAAACACACTTAAAAAATTATATATATTGATTTCAGAGAGGAAGGGAGAGGGAGACAGAATCATCAATGATGAGAGAGAATCATTGATAGGCTGCCTCCTGCACATCCCACACTAGGGATTGAGCCTGCAACCTTGGCATATGCCCTGACTGGCAATCAAAAGTAAGTTACCTGGCCAGGGCCTACACTCCTCTTTTTAATTAAAAAACAGAACAAGCAACAACAACTGTTTGATCTTATTGAACTCAATGTTTTCTAAACTTATTTGATCGGGACCACCCTCCCATCCTCCTTTTCAGTGGGTATCTATGGGCAGCCAAACACCTAGGTGTCTCCAAAATTGGAGAAACTAGAATGTCAATGGGACCTACCAGCATTCAGACCCAAGATGATATAGAGGGAGACCAACTGTTCATTTATTCAAGAATCATTCTGGAGACTGAATACACCAGACTCACTTTCCCTCCAACAACACATCATTGTTTCTCCTAACCTCTAACCCACTTTAGTGGGGTCAAAATTTATTTTATAACTTTTTAAAATATATTTTTTTATTGGCTTATGTTTTTTTAAGGGAGAGGGAGAGAGAGAGATAGTAACACCAATGATGAGAGAGGATCATTGATTGGCTGCCTCTTGCACGTCCCCTACTGCGGATGGAGCCCGCAACCCAGGCATGTGCCCTTGACTGTAATCGAACTTGGGACCCTTCAGTCCACAGGCCAATGCTCTATCCACTGAACCAAACCAGCTAGGGCTTGTTTTCTAACTTTTGATTTGGCTTCAAAACAATTTTATTCATAGTCTCTATTTTGAATTTGTTAGTTTCAATGGAGAATGGAAAATGATAGACTCTGGATGGAAGTGTCTCCAATTTTTACTTTAGTAGTCTCATCGACACAGGAAGGCAAACACTACCATATGAAATGGCAGTGAGGTAGATAGGAGGAAAAAAAATTCAGAGTGAAGGGAACAGAAAATAGTTAATATGTATTTAAGTCAGAACCAACTTAATGTGCCTATGTTGGCTTTTCTTGGGATTTTTATGGACTTTTCATTGGCTGCATTCCCTGGCAAAAGGGATGGGCACACACTTTGGTCACATACCTCTGGTTCACATCCAGGTTCTGTCACTCATTGGCTGATGAGTCTTAGAGGAGTTATTTATTCTCTTGGGCTTTTATTTCTTCCCTGGTAATGGTGATCATTTCTTTGTAGGTTGTTTCTACAATTAAACAGGTACTTGGCACAGTGCTTGGCATTTATGAGTGCTCAACAAGTCATTAACATCGTTCATGTTACTATAACTTGTCCCTGAGCATATAATGTGTTTTGCATACATCGTACTCAACAACAAATGTTTGATAAATTTCTGCTTTGGATAGATACGCAGGCATGTTGGGCTTTCTTTCCTACCCTGCAGGCACTTCTGGTAGGAAAATCTCTTCTACTTCCCAATCTAGGTTGAAAATTCTTCTGTTCTTCTGTAGCAACAGCTTGAGTATTCTTGTTCGGTTTCCTCTCAATTTTAGACTTATTTGCTTTCAAAATGTTTAGTAGTTAGTACAACATGCTGCAAGGATCTCTGCCTCCACCCCCCACCCCAAGTAGAAAAACAAGGCAAAGGAAATCTGCAAAAACAACCAGGGTGTTAAATTACTCATGTTTATTTGTAACAGACCTTCAGCCAGTACAGTACAAAACTTACAGTAGTATATCTCCATTACACAAATATTTACTTACAATATATTACATATACAAAATGCTTTGCAATAAGTCTCAAAAGCTAGTTTAACTCCCCTTGAGAAAGGAGAAAAACTCTTTAAAAAGGGGGCAGGGCAGGGGAATCAGAGGAAGAGGAGATGAAGGGATAAGGTCCAAGGAGACACCAAGCATAGGCTACAAATGAAACCCTGGGAGAGAGAGAGAGAGAGAGAAGAGAGGTGGTATTGCACTTGCTTCTGTGTTTTTGTTGTTTTTGTTCTTCATAACTTCTAAGGCAGAGGTGTCAGTCACCTCCCCTTGAGAAAGGAGAAAAACTCTTTAAAAAGGGGGCAGGGCAGGGGAATCAGAGGAAGAGGAGATGAAGGGATAAGGTCCAAGGAGACACCAAGCATAGGCTACAAATGAAACCCTGGGAGAGAAAGAGAGAGAGAGAAGAGAGGTGGTATTGCACTTGCTTCTGTGTTTTTGTTCTTCATAACTTCTAATTAAAAATATATATAATATATATTATTTACACAAGGACAGAAGCTGCCAGAAGTATTACAAAATCCCACCTGCAGCTTGGACACTGACACGAGAAAACAAAGATCTGGAAAAGTGTCTATTTAGAAATTCTTTTGTGTGTGGTGTTAATTTGAGTATCAATATAAAAGGAAAACACCTCTTTTCTCCATGTGGGTTTCCATGTATTTTTTTCTTTTTTCTTTTTTATGCAAAAGGAGTTGGGAGAGAGAGCATGAGAGTGTTTGAGTTTCCAGAGCTGAAAGGCTCCAGAAAGTAGGATTTTGTACCTAAGACCCTGGTTAAAGTGCAGTGATGGTCTGGAGAGAGACAGAGTGCGCTTCTCTCCCTCCTTAGCACCTGGTCTTGCCTTCCAGTCTCTGCTCTCATGGGCTCAGAGCACAACCTCCGAGCACAGTCCTTCATTTTCCAGGAGGTTATAGGTGCCAAATCTGACGTGGGGAGGAGATGGTGGCACCCTAAGGCTCTGATACCCCAGAAGGGACTAGTCCTTATGAGGTGTTACCAAAGATACAGCAGACACAGAAGAGGTGGTAAGGTCTACCAGGAAGGGGTTCAACAATCAGAACAATTGAGGGGAACCCGGATATTAATCTCATCTCTGCTGCCATCCTGAAGAAAGGCGCCAGTTCCCATGTTGCTGATGAGAAAACTCTCACCTTCTCTAGAGACCACTCTCCTCCCAGATAACCGCCCCATCCTCTGCCCTTGGCAGCATCTGTTTATTGCTACCTTGTCAAGGAGGAAAGATCAACCCACAGTGCCCCTCCCTGGCAATCTGGTTCTCTGGGAGTGACCACATAATGGGGGAGAAAAAGAAGGAAGAAGAGGAGAAATTTTTTAAGTGTCTTCCTTCCCCCGAGGGGGTAAAGTAGACTCTTCTCAGAGCCCCAATCCCAGGGTCTGTTCCTTAGCCAATCCTTTAGCAACCCCCAATTCATCCCTGATCGGGAGTGAGAGAAATAGGAGGCGAAAGAGCCAATAAGGAAAGGACATGTGGAAAGAAAGATGGAAAGGAAGAAAAAGGAGAGAGAAGGAGCAAGTGTTACAACTTGTGAGGTGTTGTGTTTGGTTTTCTACTTTTTTTTCTTCTTTAAATATAGAAAAACAGCCTTTGGTTTGAATCTCGAGGAAGCAGAGAATGGGATGGCTGTGGCCTTGGGCAGGGAACTCTGGTGAGAGACCTCCACTTGCAGTGGAGCTGTGTCTCCTCCTGCCCCTTCTCGCTAACCAGGTTACCCAGATAGCCAGGAGGAGGGTGCCCCTCCTGCCCTACATCTGGGAGCTGAGTGTAGACGGGGGGCAGTCACAGGTGGCCCCCTTTCAGTTGTGCCCATCCCATTCTTGCTGGGACAAGAGTGGGACAGGGTAAGGGGCACATGCCCTTGCTCGTCCTGGGATAATTTTTGGTTACACTGAAAATCAGAAGAGAGAAAAGAGGCACTCTTTCTTCCCGAGGTTGAATCCTGCTGGGTGGGGAGAGAAGAAGGCAGTGTGACCGAGGGCCTGAGATACCCCCTTGTCTTCAGGCAGCAACCCACTGGTTTCTCATAGGACGGGGACTGCAGGAGTCCCTGAGAGCCTAGGGAGGTCACTAGAGTGAAGAAGTTTGAGAGGTGGGAGAGTAAGGAGAATTTTGAACGACCCCCTTCCCATGCCCTGGTTCCCAATTAGGCACCTGTGGCTCCCAACGTGTCAGAGACAGAGGATGCAGACCTAGCCTTTTGGCCCCTGAGAATATAAAATTGGGGCACTCCAAGGAGAGAAAAGCTACCACCGAGTAGACTGGCAGGTTGAAGCAAGTAGAGCAGTGTTGGGGGTTGTTCGAGAAGAGGGAAGAGATATATCACATCCTAGAGGGAGATCCTGAATGTGGGCTTTGGGAAACTCATGTTACTAGGGGGCAGTCAAGACCCTCAGTCCCACAGTGACTGGGGAGAATGTCTTCAGCCCCTCCTACTTCCAAATGAGGGAATTCTTCCTTTGTTTAAGAAAAGTGCAAGCTGCCTAATGTGAGAGGGCACAAGAGGTATGGAGTACCGGGCTGAAGGGTCCCAGAGAGGAGATATAATGCCACAGAGCTAAGGTAGGGCCAGAGGGAGCTATCAGAGTCAAAACTGAAGCATCACGCAATGCAAAAGTGAGGACTTAACGCAACAAGTTCAAGGTCTCTTAGTACTAAGAGGAGCTTCCCACCCCAGGGGCTGTTGGAGAAAGCCAGAACAGAGAGAGAAAAATTAGGCCTAAAGGGGAAGGGGACTGTGAGCAAGAGGATGGAGGAGTGGCAAGTGACTGATAGAAGTTAAAAAATGCAAAAGAAAAATCAGCTAATTATATTAATAAATAACTCTGAGTATGCTGGGATGAGAGGGTAAGAGAAAAAGGAGAAACATAAGCAAAAACCTGTTTCATCACGATGCTTGAATCAGTCAGGGGGAAGGACAGGTGAGAAAGATTCGGGGTCAAGTGTGACATTAGGTAGCCAGTGGTGGGGCTACACAGCACAACTTCTTGGGATGTGGTGGGGACAGGGCTAGACTCCTGTAGGTGGGGCAAGGGAGTGGCGAACTGAGGGGAGGGCAGTGGGCTGCTAGCCCACCTTGTGCTCCCCCCGGACAATGTGGGAAGAGAATTCATACCGGTCCTGGCTGTGGTAACCACAGATGTTGCACTCGAAAGGGTCTCTGAAGCCATGGCAGCCCATGTGGATGGTGAACATGACATGGTCCAGGAAGAGGATGCGGCAGTGTTCACACTTGAAGGCCTTCACAGGCTCACCGCTCTCGCCCACCACCCGGAGCACTTCCTTCGAGGGGCCTGGGGTGCCCCGCAGTAACCCCTCCTGTGGCTTGGGGTCCTCTTTGGCGTAGGCAGGACTGGGCCGGCCCACCACAATGGTGGGAGGTGGCTGGGGTGGGGGACCCTGAGGGAGGGATACCACCCCCCCAACCCGATCTTCGTGGTTGCTCTCTGTATCTGTGGAGTCTTGGCACCCATTGCTGGGGGATGCTCCAGGGTCAGTAAGGGGGCCTCGGGCCCGGTAGAGGAGGGGACCACCATCAGCCAGGTCCTCGGGTCCCTCACCTGCTTCTCGGGATCCTGGAAGCTCCAGTCGACCGGGGAGGGGCTGCATCTGGGTGTAGACAGAGCTGATGACGGGCGTGAGTTCTGAGATGCAATTGGTAGGTGGAAGGCGGAGGGGACGCAGGTGCTCTGCCCCCACAAAGGCCAGAGAACCTCCAAAACCAGGCTCCAGGCCGTGATGTGCCACGAGCTCCACATCCTTCTCATAGCCACCCGAATTCACATCGTAGGGCAGGTCCGAGAGGCTGAAGCGCATCTGCTTCTCACCTGTGGAGAAGAGGCTCTCAGCAGAGCTGGGCATGGAAGATTCCTGAGCTCCCCAGGATGATGCCTTTGCTTTCTTACCCACAAGGATGGCTATAACATGATTTACCACTCTTCATTTACTTCCCTGGAGGTTAGGTCCCTTGTGGGGCTGCTCTCCAACTCTAGGCTATAATCTTAGAGGTCTCAGTCCCAGGCCACTGATCTTTATCATTCTTGCATTATCTATATCTATATCTATATCTATATCTATATCTATATCTATATCTATATCTATATCTATATAAAAGCCTAAGCAACTGTAATGACCAAATGACCGGAACAACTGGAACGACTGGTCAACCGGTTGCTATGACATGCACCAACCACCAGGGGGCAGACGCTCAATGCAGAAGCTGCCCCCTGGTGGTTAGTGCACTCCTACAGCCAACCTCCCACGGCTGGCGGCGGCGAGGGTGTCTGGCCTCTGTTTCTTCTGCGCCTGGCCTGGAGAACCCTTACTTCCTCTCCCAACCCTGCTGGGGCCTTTGGGCCCCGAGCTGGAACAGGGAACTGCGGGTGGGTGGCAGTGGACATGGCCCCTTTCCCGGGAGGCCGAGAGCCGGCTCCCTCCTCGGAACCAGCAGCCAATCTCCCGAGCCCCGTTTCTCCCCTCGGCCAGCAGGCCCCCATCGGCCCGGCCCTGATTGGCCCTGATTGCCGGCCAGGCCTAGTGACCCCACCCGTGCACCAATTTGTGCACCGGGCCTTTAGTTCTCTATAAAGCTCCAGGTCCTTGGAGAGTTGGGCTAGGTGAGGGCCTCATACTCGCCTCTTCCCTCTGACTCAAAGGGCCCAGGTCTCAGTCCCCACAGACTTAAGTCCTTGCTATTCTCAAAAACTGGGAGAACCCTGACACCCTCTTCTAAAACCACCACATGAGCCCTCAATACTAACCCCTTCCACCCTCTCGAGGTACTTTCTCCCTCTTCATCCTGCTTCTATTTTGGGGATAGATTCTGAGGACCAGACTGCTTTCTTTCCTTCAATTAAATCTCCAGACCCAACTGGTCTAATGGCCATCAGAGCTCAGATACAGATGAGCTATGGCTTAAAGCTGATGTCTCCTCTACCACTGGACTCTTACCTACAAACTTCTGGGGGGTGGAACGCTTGCGTTTGGTGAGGCTGTTGGCCAGACGATCAATGAATGTGGGCCTCTCAGAGGATGAGTGCAGCATAGAGTCTGGCACCATCTCCAGGTCACGTATCTCATCACCTAGTGGGGGGAGGTGGGGACAGGGAGTAGCAGCTGAGGAGGGGTAGCACTGGCCCAGCAGCCTTCTCCTGGAGAAAACCAGCAGGTCAGGAGCCACGGAAGGTCATACCTGATGCTTGGGAAATTAGGTCAGCTTACTTCATTATCATCCCAGCAACAGGTTAGATAATTTGGGGACAATTATATACATCTGACCCTCAATTTTATACTTCCTTGTAGTCTCTCTCTCTCCCATTAGTAAGAACATAGATCAAATCCTCCCCTACCTCTGGGTCCTTCTGCCGCATTTACCAGGGGCTCTGCACTAACTGGGGTGCTCGGCACCCTAATTACTGAGGTAATTGTCCCTTCCCCGTGGACCTCTCCCCTTGTGCAGGCAAGTGCTGGAATCACCCTTGTCCGGTACTCCCTCCCTCCGCTCTGCCCTCAGCTCCCCCATAGTCCTGCCCACAGCCCACCTGGTTGGCCGGCCAGGGCTTGGGCTTCAGTGCTGAGACTCTGCAGGTAGTTGTGGCACCGCTCCTTGTGCTCCTCCAGGGTGCTCTGCTGCTTGTAGCTCCGGCCACAGTAGTTACACTTGTAGGGCTTACCCACCGTGGGAGAGGAGACTGTGCGGGAGAGAGGAAGCAAGTAGCATCAGGGTTACTTTTCCCAGTGCCCTGGCTCTACACAGCCATCTAGGAGCAAAGGGACACTGAGGAGGAAGGGGTCCTGCTCCATTAAATTCTTCTGCTTGTCTTCCCTTCCCCAACGGCAGCTGTGAGCATGGGCAGATGACCAAACCTCAGAGAAGAGGCACAATGGCAGCTATGGGAAGCGAAAGGGGACACCCAGGTCATGTAGCACTGGATTGCTGATAAGACTCAAGACGGCCAAATGGCCCTAACCGGTTTGGCTCAGTGGACAGAGCATCGGCCCTCGGACCAAAGGGTCCCAGGTTTGATTCCGGTTGTAGGCTTGATCCCCAACCCTGGTCGGGTGGGGGTGGGAGCCAACCAATCGATGTGTCTCTCTCACATTGATGTTTCCCTCTCTCTCTCTCTCTCTGTCTCGCCCCCTCCCTTCCACTCTCTCTAAAAATAAATGAAAAAAATATCCTTGGGTGAGGATTAACAACAACAACAAAAAAGATGGCCAAATTGCTGCTCAGAGGAAAGAAGAGCCCAGGGACTTGGTAGGGGATCATCCCTGGCAGGCAGGCTGGCCCCACCCCAGGACCTCAGAGTCTGGGGCCCACACTGTGGTTTAACCTTTCCATGCGGCAGGCGGTGTCAGCGCTGTTTACCAGACAAGGGGATTTTTTGCTTACGAACTATCTGATTTGGTTTGGGGGAAACTGGTGGGCTGGGGCGACAGAAATGAGAGTCCTTAGATCTGCTGACGTGGGGAGGGGCAGTTTTCACTGACCTTTGCTTGTCCTTTTTTACCTCTACTACCAGCCCAGTTTTGCTGCTTATTATTCTTTCTGTCGTTCTACATTGAGATACAAAGGGAGCCCCAGAAAAACCGTCATCTGATGGAGAACTTTGAGAAGAGAAAAAGAATAACAGAACAGAGAAGAAAACGATGGAGAAGATATAAAAAGAAGAGAACAACTTTGGAGGTGTTTTTTTTTAAAGAACAGGAAATAAGGATTTTGTTTCTAGTGAAAAGATTGGGAAGACTGAGACCGATACTTCCTTGAAAGACAGCTTTTGAGAGACGATGTTTGTGAGAGGAGAGAAAAAAGTGAGAGAAACAAGGTATTGTATATTTTAATTTATGTGACTTGCTACTACTGAGCAGGTGCCAGGAGAAGTGTCTCCAAGGAACCCTCTCCCGTCCCATGCCTGACCTGCACCTTGACTCAACCAATCTACTACCATCTTGCTCTTGCTCGGTGTTTGTGGGATGAGATTAAAGTCACAGACCCCATTGACCTAAGACTCTGATGTTAGGGGAATGTTTTCACATCTGAGAGGAGCCCTCTTTTTCTTATAGTGTGGGTTGTAAGAGAAAGCATCTCATAAAGACGGGACCCAATAGCATATCCGTGTCTTCTTCCGGCCCCAATAATCTCCTACAGAACCTCCCAAACCCACCCGGACCCCTGCCTTGCTGTTGGTAAGATTTCTAGGGGCCAAGCCACCCTTGTTCCAAACCACCAGGGGGGCCCCCTTTCCCCAAGACCTTGATGGGGTTCCAGTGAGGATGCAGAAAGAATAGCTCTGTGACTGGCAAACCTCTTCTTCTTTTTCAGTCTCCTTGTCAGCAAAATGGAGATAGTCACATCTACCTCGGAATTGTTGTGAGGATCACATGAGGAGACAAGTGAAATGCTTTGTAGAGGATAAAGCATGGGTCAATGATCCTCTTTCTCTCTGTTGTTCCTCCACATACACAGAGATAAAGAGGTCCCAGCTCCCAGGTGAGAGCAAGGTAGGTGGCTGGAAAAAGTACAGGATGGGGAGGTGATTACTTTGTCCCTTTAAATCCTGGCCCATGAGGGTTTAGGAAAAGAGAAAAATAGCAAAGAACGTTTCCAAGGACAGACCCTACTAATTCTTTACCCTCTGCCCTCCTTCCTCCTTTTCCCAGTCTTGAGCTCCCTCCTTCCTGCCAGCTCAGCTCCTGACCTTTTCCCAAGTCCAAGCCCAAAGCTCAAAACTTAGTAAAAGGTTTCAAAAGTGCTATCTGTCCAGCTGATTAGGCAGATGTTGATTCAGTCTGGGCTGGGCTAGAAAATCGAGTCAGTCCAGTTCCCGGGCACCGTTCCAAACCCTGAGCTCCGGGCACTCGCTCTCGCTCCTGGTCAGGTGATGACCTCTTGGAATGGGGAACAGAAACGGGATCATCTTCGTAGGCTTCCTTCCCTCCAGTTTGGAGGCCCGTGGATGTTTTCAGGAAGCAGGAGGAAGTCAAGGAGAGGACAGAAGGGGGCAAAGATGGTGACAAGTGTGGGACCTGGGGCAGATATGAGGGAAGGAGGGGTCACCCTGGTGCTCAGAAGTGGGGGGTGATGGGGCACAGATGGTTCTGCATCAGCATGACCTTTAAAAATATCAGGCATGGCCCTAACCGGTTTGGCTCAGTGGATAGAGCGTTGGCCTGCGGACTCAAGGGTCCCAGGTTCAATTCCGATCAAGGGCATGTACCTTGGTTGCGGGCACATCCCCAGTAGGGAGTGTGCAGGAGGCAGCTGATCAATGTTTCTCT